CTTGACGACGCAGTTCCTCGCGTTCGAGTCTGCATGCTGAAGGGCAGGGGTTTTCCGCAGCCGCTGGGCACCGACCCCAGCATCCGCGTGCTCTGCCGGTTTTATGAACGTCGCATTGAGGTCATCGCCAATGGCCTCCGGCTGGGGAACGGGGCGCAGTGGCCCCCTTAACCAGTGCAGGCCAACCACGCCGACGAGGAGGGCGATATGCAGGAGCAGTGTTGCACGAAGCAAGGCAGGCCAGAGAGGGGCTACCCAGAGCTACAGCAAAGCCCGGACAGTCCCAGCACAAAGCAAAGCGCCTCCCTCTAGCAAACCGCCATGCATGCCTATGCAGCTTCCTTGCCTTCAATGTCCTTTGCAGGCGCAATTGCAGGGAAGAGGATCTCCCTCCCTTGGGGCAGCTCGTGGCCCAACACGCAGAATCCTCCACAGCCCCCAGCCGCCTGCCTGGCCCGTAGCAAACTCAAGTTTGGATTTCCCGTGTGGGTTTTCCCTTGTTGACTTTGCGTGAGACGTGTTGCCGGAAATCACGACCAACACGGTCCACGCCTAAAGTTTTTTGCAGGGGAAAAAAACAAAAGGTACCGTTTTGCTGCTTGAAAATGAGGGAAAACGAGCAGGAAACTTGAACTGTTTTAAGCCAGGTTGTCTAGCAGTCCTGAAGGAAAATAGTTTGAAAGATAGCGTTTTCTCCAGCAGCAGGACGTGCAACCTGAATTTTTGGTGTGTTCAGCTTTGTTCGCTGGACAATCCGCACATCACATTTGTGCCCTCATTACACGAGCATGTGCCATGTTCCAGCCAAACTCTATGCCTGGAAACTCTGGCCACAGTCTTGTGGAAACCGCGCCCAACATGGCCTAAAGAGTGCTGGCGGTCAGTGAGGCGCAAGTGCAGTTTAATGACTCTCATGTGCTTCGCTGTGGGTACCCGGAGCGCTGGCCACGTTCATTTGCAGTGCATCACCCAGCGTGGGATGCCTAAACGGAAGGCTTCAAAGGACAGTATCTCGAGTCTTACCACCACCAACTGCTACTGCCACTGCTACTGCTACTGCTACTGCCACTGCCACTGCTACTGCTATTGCTACTGCTATTGCTACTGCTATTGCTACTGCTA